AGTATAAAAATAGTATAGTACGAAAATAAAAAAATTAGAGCAGACACGCAGAAATTTAGTTAATAAATACGGTTTGCATGAAAGAAATTTTATTAAAAAAAGGATAATTAACTTTAAAATTATGTCAACAATCACTCTCAATTTAAGAAAGAAATGCTTAAATGGGCTAAATTCTACATGCTTTGTTAATTTTACATACTATGTGTACCAAAATAGTTACTACTGTTTTGAGATGCCGTGAACGAAGTCACGAGGCAACTATTTGTCACGAGATCACGACCCACGAACACGACGTCGAGTGATCTATTTTTAAGGGTAAGGTATTGATTGATTGATTGATGGTTATAAGAGATTTTAAGTATGATGTGATGAGTATCGGTTCGATTGATTGAGTGATGATTATAAGTAAGTTGTAAGTATGATGCATTGTATGATGAATATCGATTTGATTGATTGAATGATGGTAAGTAGAGATGGCTCTCTCTCTGTCTTTGTTGCAAAAGTCTAGTTTCATAGTTAATGCCCACCCACAGCATGATCGATAGCCCAGGTGGACAACCCGGATGTCGAAGTTAAGTACTTTAATAGCTCGACCGAACAGCTCGGATATCAAAGAAAGGGTAAATAAAAATAGGGTAGATTGACGATGCTAGGAATCCGCCGTGTGAGCAGCGAGGCGAGATCCCATATAATGATTTCCGTAACAGGAGATGTTATACAACTAATTTAACACCTGGTGTGCACCATATAAAATAATTAGTTTACAATACCAGATCATTCCGCCAGTACATGTTGTGATTATAATCCAATACCCGTTTTATTATAATAAAACAGGTGTTGGATTATAATCACAACATGTACTAGCGGAATGATCTGGTATTATAAAATAATTATTTTATGTGTTGCACGTGGAATTAGTTGTATAACATCAACAGTTTCTCCTGTTGTTTTCCATAGTTGGTTTGTTTTTTGTAAATATAAATAAAACGAACGAAAAATGTGAAAAAAATTTTATTACGTCAATTAATTCAAAATAAATAGAGGCCGGTGATCATGTGACTACGCCCTCGCTGAGACGACGCTTTTCTACGGTGATTTTTGCGATTATTTGCAAAATAAAATTCTTTGTAATAAATTTTCCATTTTGCGCAATTAAAAATTTTAAAAATTTAACGAATGTTACAAAGCTTTACAGCGACCACACTCATATTTTATGCCTATTCTTCCGAGAATCTCAGCCATAAAACATGCAATATGAAAGCCTTAATTTAGAAGTATAAACCTTACTAAAATTCACCTATACTCTTTTATTATAACCCTAAACCATAGCTATAATTCAATAGATTTAATTTCAACATCATTCGTGATAATGATATAATCTAAAAATAAGTGTCAACTTCTGTGGCATTCTGATTTTGCAGAAAATATATGGGGTAGCTTGTGGCACCTAAGTTCAGTATATTCCTCATTTTCGATATTTTGAGCAACGTTTCATCCAAAAATAAATAAGTTATTCTATGTTTCGAGTTGACAAAAAAAAAAGGAAAAGCTAAGCGGGGTAATGCACCCTGCAAAACCGGTAATGGAAATGGGGTCACTCCCACACAAGTAAATTCAGGTGAGTATGAATTAAATGACCTACAATCACCAATTTACAGTAATAAGGATGTCGTGAGAATAAAATCAAGAGACGACAGGAGTTATGCCATCAATCTCCAACTTAGCTATAGCAGACCTAAGTTTATGACTCAACCCTCCCTCCCAAGGAACCTGCCAATTTCATAAGTATGTCTGCTGGCTATGTTCATATTATCGGCTGGCCTATATTATGCAGGCGGGAAACCACTGGCCAGCGCAAAGCCACACAAACTCAACTATTACGTACGGTGTGAAGGGCTCGAAAGATTTTTTTTTTTTATTATATTATATTATATTATATTATATTTTATATCGTTATATTTTTTAGTTAGTATAGAAGTTCGAAGTAAACATAACACTGCTAAATAAGTAAAATGTCCTACCCGATACGAATTTGTATCCAAATGTCTAAGCAGATACGAATTCGTATCCAAAGTCTCAGCAGATACGAAATTGTATCCAAATGTCTAAGCGGATACAAATGTGTATCTATTCTATTATACTATAATTTATCCGGAGCGAAGTTAAAGGAATTAGTATAGTAAAAAGCAGTTTTAATAGAAAACACAGCCTATGTACGTAGTAGAGGTCAAAAAGTACTTAAAGACCTATTTTTTTTGCCTGAATAAAGAACAACTCGTAAGAGTTCTTAACTTCTAAGTCCTGAAAGTAGAAGTTGTTCTCTGAATAAAATAATTTCCTTAACATAAAAAATTAGTCCAAAGTATAACAAAAAACCTGACTTATCGTAGTAGCCTTGTACCCGTGATTCTGATAAGAGTCATAGTATTGAATCCTTGTAAGAAAAAGAGAAAGAGAGTACTGATTAGAAATCAAACCCATTATATATCAAAAACAATTAAACTTTAAATTAATTTCGTCATCCCTACCATTGTTTGCTTATTACGTCAAACAATCGAATCATCGAAGATCCCATATCGTTAACACGTGACCACGTGACAATCGTTAAGAATCTTAACGATTGCATCCAAATCTTGAAGCCCATTACGATCAGATATAGAAGAAGCATTTTCTTTAGACCAATTACAACCCGCTAAATACAGTAAACATTCAAATATACTTATCTTGAAACGCCAAATAGGCCGCAACAAGATCCGAAGACCTTGAACCTCGGACCAAGTCTCACCACGCCTTTTCTGCCTTCCACCTCAAGGCTTAGATTAGAGTCTTGGAGGATATTTAGATTAGTTTTAGGGATTGATATTAGTTAGTTAGATAGTTTTTATCATAAACACAGTAGTTTCCACTTTCTCAACGGGATCCCGGCAATATTGCTGCTATTTCCGGGTGTATATCCCTTCCCATTATTAATAATGCATAAATCACAACCAATGTAACAGTAAGCTGCATTCATCAAATACTGAAATAATAAAAATTCGACTCCGGCACATTGCCGAATTATTCTAATTTATGACGTGCGTGTAGTGTTGTTAGCCGATCGACTAACAATCGACTGACTGAGTCATCGACTAAGTCGTCAGCTTAGTCTAGGGCCGTTAAAAAGCTTGTTGGACCCGGTTCTTGAGTCGACTTCACACGGACTTTTCAGGACTGACTCAAACTTGTCCCGTACAAAGTACTATACGCATGTCTTTTGTTCCAATTTGTGATCCATATAATTGGTCAAATGCATGTTGTTTGTTCATATTGCTGTATTGTGATCAGGAGGCATTCATATGATTGGCTAATTTATATCGAGATTTATCTGATTATTACATGTACGGACTCGACTCAAGGACCGAGTCCTAATCGAAGTCCCTATTTACAAAGTCAGGACCGAAAGGATCGGACTTTTAACAGCCCTAGCGGCTGTAGTAATATGTATCGACTTTAAACATTCCATTAGCACCATTAATAATAAATGGTGATCAGTAACAATTACTAATCATAAATGTTCCATAAGCATTGGAACAATGAATAAATAATTATGACCTAATAGTTCGGTCATAGTATTTCTTAAGTAACAATACATTGTACGGGGCGTCTAAATTCAGACCATTTGTTGCTTGTAACCAATATACATCAGGGGCTATTCGACTGTGTATTATATAGAGGCCTAACTATTTTGGCATTAATTTCCCTGTATGTCGATCATGTATTGAAGTGTTAAACAATAGCACTTTATTTCCTTTTTGAAAGATCCGTAGGACTTTTTATCTCATCGGAATTTCTGTCGCTTTTATGCTTTATTCACATTTCCTTTTGCAGTCTCTCTCTTGATAGGTAGATCTTCTACCAGATCGAACAATTGATCCAGCATATTTTCGGTCACCTCGTTTTCATCAACAAAGTTAGGAAATCGGGCTTCTCTCCCGTATATAAGATAAAAGAGAGTAAATTTTGTGGTAGACTGCTTGGATGTTTGATAAGCATAGAGAACTGAGGGTATGATTGTATCCTATTCTCTATTTTGATTAATTAGTTTGGCCAAAGATTCACATAGCGTTTGATTGAATCTTCCACTAAACCATTGGTTTGTGGATAGTAAGGTGTAGATAGGATATGTTTGATCTCAAATTTCTGCGTCAAGAATTTAATAACATCATTATTAAAGTGTCGACCTCTATCTGAAATCAAGTACCTAGGGCATCCATGGTAACACACAATCTCATTAAAGACGAAATGGGCTGTATCTTGGGCACTTGCGGTAGGTGTAGCCATTGCTTCTGGCCATTTAGTTATGTAATCCACCGCGACTATAATATAACAATTTCCATTTTTCGTTATATCTAAGGGGCCTACAAAGTCTATTCCAATTTTATAGAACGGTGCCTCTACTGGAATGGGCTGTAAAGGTCCACATATCCTTTGTTTCCCCCTTTTTTGGCATTCATCACACATTTATACATACTCACAAACATATTCATATAATTGGGGCCAATAATATTTAGCATGTATCTTTTCAAATATTTTTTCTGTTCCTAAATGTGCTCCCAAGGGGTGGGTATAGTTCATGTATAGGATTAGTTTCACTTCATGCTGTTGGATTACTCTAATTAATTGATTCTTCGTTTGTCTCCTACGATCTCTTTTGTATGGAGTATGATTTTGGACTAAATAAAACTTGCTTTGGGCCTCTAAGTTTCTCCTTTGTTGTGTAGTAAAGTAATGAGAAAACTTAGCCGTCTGTAAGAAGATTTGTATATGATGGTATTTAGTTGATTCCATGTTATATAATTGTTGAATTCTAACTATCTTAATGATGTAGTTAAAAAAAAATTAATAATAATAATAATAAAAAACTAAAAAAAAAAAAAACTCAAAAAGAAATATTGTACGGTTGCAGGGACAGACTTGCAAAGTTTTTTGTTGTTTGGGGACAGATAACCTTTCTGGATATCTTAGACGCACATGGTAGGGTTTGTAGTTTTCCACCAAGTGGCATTACAAAGGTACGCCCTGGAAAAGTTATTAAATTCTTCTTTATATCTGGGTGTAGGTGTTTCCAACACAGGTAACCACCAAGGATGGCTCAATATTAAATCTGGATTAAAAGGGTGGTTAACTCTTCTTTTTACTCTTTTTCGATTTTCATCAGATCGATGATCTGATAAACTATTTTTGCTCTTCTTAGATTCTTCATAAAGAGCTTCAGTTCTATTAACTGTTTCAACTTCTGACAGTGTTTCTTACATGTGGGCTATTTCTTCTTCTACACTCAGCATGGACCAATAACACTTTGCTATTTCTTGTATAGGATAAGCCTTGATGGTGATCCACATTTTCAGGTCATACTTATATTTTGCACAGTCGTCGTCCTCTGGTGAGTATAATTTGTCACCACACCAACATTGGGTGTTTGGACCTTTCTAGTCGAAGGGCCATTTCTTGTTTCTAGATTTTTGTTTTAATCTTTGACTTATGTACTCTATATAGTACCATGTACTTAATTGACCGTCATGCCTAATACCTTGTGATGTAAATTCGACGTTTTCATAGGAATAAATCCCAGATATAAGGGATTTAGGTGGGTTATAATTTAGGATTTCTTTAATTGTATGCTATACAGAATTACCTTCCCCATTATCAGTGTCTATACTAATATAATTAACCATAACCTCTCGGTCTTTTCCTTTATCATTAAGACGGGAGAGTGCATCGGCGTTACTATGTTTATGCCTGGCCCGGTGAATAATGGTGATATTATAAGGTTCCAACCTCATAATCCATCGGGCACGTTTACCCTTTAACTCTGAGGTTCTTAGCCACTTCAATGTGGAATGGTCCGTAATTAAGAAAAAGAGCTTTGACCCTAAGTACTGATGAAAGTGTTCAACGGCCCATATAACCGCAAGACACTCTAGCTCAGGTACAGAGTAATTTTTCTCTGCTTTACTTATACTACGGCTAGTATATACCACAACATACTTCTTATCTTCATTGTCTAGTTGGGATAACACAGCACCCAACTCTGTAATTGAAGTATCGGTATGGAGGTAAAAAGGCCGATCAAAATTGGGATACCTTAAAATTGGAGCTATAATGAAATGACTTTTCAAGGTATTAAAAGCTTTATCTTGTTCTTTAGCCCAGTGAAATTTTATTTCACTTGATAATAACTTATTTAGGGGTTTTGCAGTCTTAGAAAATCCTTTTATTAATCGCCTATAATAGGAGGCGAGACCCAAAAACGCGCGTAGCTGTCTTAATGTAGTTGGTATAGGGAAGTCTCTTATTTTCTTTATTTTATCATCATCAGGAGCAACACCATCTTTGTCAATCACATGACCTAGAAATTTAATTTTATATAGGAAGAAAAAACACTTGTCTAGATTCAATGTGAGGCATGCTTCTTCCAACGCTTTTAGGACAAGACGAACATGCTCTAAGTGTTCTTCATAAGTCCAGGAATAAATGGTGATATCATTCAAGTATACAACCACGAACTTGTTGATATAAGCACTCAACACGTGGTTCATTAGACATTGAAACGTTGAAGGGGCGTTGCAAAGCCCAAACGGCATCACATTGAACTGATATGTGCTGAATTTTGTTATAAAAGCAGTTTTCTTTCTATCTTCTTTCCTTACCACAACTTGCTAGTATCCACTAGCTAAGTCTAAGCTAGTGAACCACTTTGCACCCTCAAACACAGATAAAACTTCATTTATGTTAGGTAAAGGATAAATATCCTTTTCTGTTACCGTGTTTAACTTCCGGTAATCAATACTTAATTGTTTCTTGCCATTTTTCTTAGGCACCAGAATGACGGGAGAAGTCCATGGCTTTTAACTTCTTCAATTATATCCTTTTTCTCCATATCAAGAATTTCTTCTCTAAGAAATTCTTGATCATCTAGGGACATACCATAGAGATGCTAGCTAATAGGTTTGTCATCACCTGTATATATTTCATGCTGCACCAGGTTAGTTTGGTTTAGGCCAACTGTTTGACTGGACTTACTAATCTTTTCTGCATAAACTTGGGGTGTTTTCATTAACATTTCTACCACTTTTTCTTTTTGGAAAGGTGGTAAATATAGGTTAATATTAAAGGATTTCTCATCCCACTCTGGTTGTTTTATTTGAGAATTCGCCAAAAATACCGCAAGGTTATAGTCAGTCCACAGATTAAAGTACATTTCTTCTTCCTCTAAGGTACCCTTATCCGAGTAAAAGGCTTGTACTTCATCACTTTCATTTTTCAATTCATCAATCCATTCTTCTTCATTAGTGAATTCTTCTAATTTCTAATTGTTAAAACTCTTACTAACATGGGTTGCATTTATGGTAACTTGCTTACCCAGATATTTTATATGTAGGGTATTACTACCAAAGTTAAGCTTCGCTCTTGACTTACTAAACCAATCTGTACCCAAAAGTAAAGTCTCTTCCTGAGACTTGATTACTTGTAAATCTATAGATATAACTAGGTCCTGTAAAGTTATTTTAACACTACTGATTATACCTAGAGCTTTAGCTCTATTACCATTAGCCGTGATGACAATAGTCCGGGATAGTTTATCTATTACTAACCTAAGCTTATTCATAAGCTTCTTTGTTATTATACTTACTGCAGTGTCAGAGTCTAGTATTGCAACTACTGGGTTGCCTTTAATCCTTACATGGCAGCGCATGGCCATGGTTTTGTGTTGGCTATTTGCATTCAAGTGATTAGCCTCAGTACTTGGGGCCTTTTTCCGCCTAAGTGCCTTAGCCAGGTTACGTCGTTGAGTTGGATTTTGAAGCATTTGCCCATAAGTTACACATGTCAGGGCACCTAATAAATCCTCAGATATATTATAAGCCTATAGTTTATCTACCACTGAGGGTAAGTGACATGCTGCAACTTTCTTTGGTATTACATCCGGGACCACATTAGTATCCAAGGTCATTGGATCTTCAACTTCTTCTTCTTCTAGAACCGGAGAATTCTGTTTCCTTCCGCGTAATTGATACTTTTTATGCGATTCTGATTGTCTTTGTTGCTGTTTTTCTTTAGACTCCTTACGGTTAGTACTATAAGGCTTGTACTTAGCAGCAAATACTTCTTCATCATCACTATCGATTCAGGTTCCACAAAATTAATATGCCTACTTTGCCTGTTACAATTAGGTCTTTTTAAAATTTGATATGAGTGCTCTACCCTTTCAGACAAGCATTCATAAACATAATGGCCGGGTTCTCTGCACTTATAGCACTTACTAGGAGAACTCTTCTTATAAGGCTGTTCTTGCCTTACTTTTGTTGGAGCTACCGCTCTATCTGATTAAGCCATTAAGACTATTGCCATATTGGTATAATTAAGACTTAACTGGTGCATTTGCTAGGTTAGGTTTTCAATTTCTCTTTCATAATTTCTGGTCTGAGTTGGTAAATCAGGGCCGGTATTTAAGGCAAAATCGGTATCTTGCTCGTACTTACGAGCCTTGTCCAGGACTTCCCCCAAATTTTGTGGGTTATGCATTAATATCATGGGAAGTATTTCGGGTCTTAAACCCTTTTTTGAAATAATATTGTTGTTGGGCATCTGCCATGTTTTCATCAACTCTTTTTACTAACCTTTTGAACTTACTATAATAAGTTTTAATAAATTCGCCGGGTAACTGCTTAAGCGAGTCAAAGTCCCTTAGCCACTTGTTCTGCCAACGCTGAGTGCAGAACTGAGCGATAAATGCAGCAGTGGTGGCATTCCAATCCGCAACAGCATTATTAGTAGCAGCATTAGCTACAAAATAGGTTTGTTGCCATTTATCAGCATTACCATGTAGGAACGCAGGTAGTAGTTCTCTTTTTCAACGGTCAGTCCATCGATTAGCCATGGCAGCTTTTCCAAAGCTCTCTAACCAGGTCCTAGGATCCTGTGTACTATCTCCATAGAATGGTTCAATTCTCAGCAGGATGGAATCCCTTTGGTTAGCCTGGAGGTAATTTAAAATGTTTTGTGCATTAGCAGTGGCCATGTTTTGGTTAATTGGTGAAGGTGAGGGTGTACAAAATAACCTTTCTAACTCTAAGTCTGAATCTAGCTCTTCTGCTTCAGAAGTGGGTTCACTTAGATTTTAGAGTATTAAAAGTGGATCTAATTCAAATTTATTTGTTCGCAGGTACGCTTGACAAAGTTGGTCGACTATAGTCTCAAATCTGGGGTCTTCTGTATAACGACATATATACACTAAAGCCTGAAAGTGTTCTTCAGGTGGATTTGCAGATTGTTGTAATAACTGAAGGATCTGGAGCGTGCAATCGGTATGGAAAATTACTGGATATGCAATTAGAAACCAAGCCCAGAAGTTGATAAATGGTAAGGTATATGCTCTTGCAGCAGGGTAACACAATTGACAAGAGTAATCTGCTGCGTATTCGTGAATTTGTTGATGAATTACTTAGGTGGTCCCAGGGTAAAGTGTGTGCTGATGATCGTGCTGAGTGTTCCTATACCAAAACTCTGGATAACTAATCATGCATGGTTAGTAGCTACATGTTATTATCTATTTACTAGTGACTTGGTGAGTTATAATCTCACAGTCACCACCAAAAATGTCACACCTGAATCAACCTCTCTAGAATGATCCAAGGGATATGGTAATATAGTATGAAGACTATACCCACAAGAAATATTAATGGTTAGTATAATTAATAACAGTATACTTTTGGAGAGGATTCAGAGGCTTCGTTCGAAAGAGGCAACAACTCTAGGTATATGAAGATACCAAGGTTGTATAATATACTTGACAAACTTCTCTTGTAAAGTTTGTATTCTTCCCTTCACGGGTCACGTGAATACGAAACTAACAAGATTGGAGTTATAGTGGATATTTGTGTATGAAGACACGAAAGAGTATCTTTATTAAATAAAAAAAATAAATAATAACAGAAAAGAAGCGAGAATTCAACTATTCTATCAATAGGGTAAGGGGTTGAAGTCTAAAGGTAGAATAAGGCGAACTTAGAGGCCTTTTATACATGAAGCGAAGGCTATAATCTACAAGGTCAAGTATATATTTGATTCTAATTCCATCATACTATTCCTTTCACTAACGATCCTTTTCATACTGTCTTTATGAACTATTATGTCCAATGTTGCCTTCACATGCTTGAACGTGAAGATAAGTCTTTGGTCGGGTCAATCTCGGGATCGGCTTACCCATACTCTCATATGCAAGTTGGATGGTATGGACGATCCAAGACCTACAACTTTATGCATATCAGTACCCAGGTTACTGTGCCATAAATCGGGTAACTTTTCAGGGTAACACCGGTTTAGTTATTTCATTTTTATTTGATTTTATTAGATTGGTTTGTTTTCATGTTTTTAAAATTGCCATTAGATAAAATTACAGCTTTAGGTCTTTACTTTTTTAAAATTGGCATGGGACAGTGTTATAACGTTAGTCTGTTTTCGCTTTCTTTTAAATTGTCTTGGACGGGTCATCTTTAAAATATTATTGAAGAAGACATTATTAAGTCTTCGCTTTCTTTAAATTCTTATTAGACAGAATCACTCATTATTTTGTTTTTGCATTCTCTAAACTTCTTATTAAACTAGGGGGATTTTAACAGTTCTCCATTTATCGTTGTTTTACAAAATGAGGTATCTTTGATCAAATTTGTAGATCCTAATTGTTGTCCGTTGTAAAGTGCGCTTTTCAAAATAAATTTCCAAAAAAAAAAAAATTTTTTTTGAAATGAACGGCAAAGCTTTTTTTGACTAAACCACGAAAAGCCTTTGATCGTAGGAATTTTTTTTGTTATAAACTTCTAAGCATGGTAAAAAATTTTTTGACCATGGCAAAACTTTGAAGCTTTTTAATTTGATCACGATACGACTTTGACTACACAGAGTTCGCTTGCATAGAAATGAAGATTAATTATTACGAACTATATAGCCAATCAATTTCAAAATTAAAATAATGATGCTGGCCAAAATTTGGGCGGGTATATGAGTTTTTACAACATCGGATATTTATTCTAATAAAATTATGTCCACCTTAAGTACATCGAAGTTAAAATCAAAGAATCGTAATTTATTTTCCGATTTATAATTCAACATGGTAAAAATGCGACACTTATTTGTTAATTTTGAAAGCCATTACTTTATTTACTAATCCCGGTTTTACAATATTAGATTTACGTACACTATTCATAAGGAAAAAACAAATAAAAATAAAAAAAAGCCTTTTTAAAAATCATTACCTGTGAAAAAATTATAAAAATTCAAGTCTGGTTTAACAATCCCACTTCTATTAGTAATATCTAGTGATGCGGTAAAGTCGTCCCAATGAAGTTCCAGTGGATTTTTTTTTATTACAGTATTAAGCTACAAATAAGTTGTAACTCAATTTGCCGTGTCTCAAAAATTCATTGGGACGATTCTACCGCATCACTAGTAATATCCGTTCAAACTTTCAAACTGTTCGATCAGCTTAAATATTTAACTAGTTCGACGATGATTGTTACCAAATTATAGAAAATCTTTGTTTTAAATAACTAAAATTTTAAATATAATATTTTTTTAAAAAAATAATTTAAATGATATAATTTATCCGATAAAAAAAGATTTAACAAAAGGATAAAAAACAAACATTCGTTAAAGATCATTTGGAATTTCTATACCAACGGATTTACTACCATTTAGTTTGGATAACCTTTCACTAATTTCCAATGTGTTAAATGGTTTGCTAGTGTATAT